CTCTGTGAACAGCGAGGGCTCCCAGAGTGTAGTTCACCAATGTTTCCAAGCAAGTGGGGTAAAGCCTTCAAGGTGATTTCTTAGATTTCATTTTCCTGAGGTGGCTGGAAGGGAGCTAAGGATGGGCTCTGTTGAGCATGGGACCCACTGTGAGGCCAAAAGGCCCTTTTCTGAGCCTTTAATGAACTCACTATCCAGCACTTACTAAGGGAGCTATACAAGGGACTAGCGTTTGGTCTTTTTTGTTTTGTTTTAATTTCTGCTCAAGTGTTGTTTGTTATCTCCAGCCCCTACCAGTAGAGAGTGGGCACAGGTGGGGAAGGTGGGGTGGGCCGGAGGGTTAGTGCTTTCCTAAGTGGGTCAGATCAGAAAAACCTGCAAACCTTTCCCCTAAAGGGTGGCTCAGCAGTCATCCTCAGCTCGTGGCCAGAACCCAAGCCCAGAAGGTGCAGGAGGAGCAGAACAGTGGCTGACCTGAGGCCAAAGCTGAGCTGTCTTGTGCTACATGTACAGTGTGTCCTATTCCCACAATGGAAGTTTGTCGTTTCTGCTTTTTAAAAACTGATTTTTTGGTGTATAATTTGTGTACCACAAAATTTACTTATTTTAAGTGAACAATTCCATGATTTCTAGTAAAATCATAGAATAGTGAATGCAGCCATCCTCCCTTTAGACTATGTGCACGTGCATCTGCATTGGTTGCCTCCTCTAGCCCGAGCCCGGCCACCAGAGATGGCTATTGTTTCCGGAGACTGCCTGCTCTGAGGCTCTTGTGTGGCTGGAATAGTTCAGTTTGTTAGCCTTGTATCTGCCTTCTTACACTTAGCATGCTGTGTTCACATTTCATCCGGGTTAACACATCACTTCAATCCCTTTTCATTGCGGAATGATGTTCCATTGTGTGACTGTTCCCAACATGTTTATCTGGTTGCCACTGGGGGACTTTGGGCTTGTTTTCCCGCTTTGATGGTTATTAATAATACTGCTGTGGACCTTTGTGTGCAAGACTTTCTGTGATCAGATGGTCATTTCTCTTGGGGAGAGACCTAGGCCTGGGATTGCTGCTGCTCAGATGCAAATCCAGGTTTCACATTTTCGGAAGCTGCCTGACTGTTTCAGAGTGGCTGGGCCTTTTACTTTTCCACAGTGCAGGGCCCCAGGGGAGGGGGCGGGGGGAGACAGGACACTCCATTCCTGCCCACCCCACACTCTTGCTTTTGCCTCTCCTCTTGATTGTAGGACAGTTCCTAGTTTTGAATGGCTCCTCAGCCTTTCTGTAGGCTGTGCCTTGCTTTCTTAGATACCCAGTCTAAAGGTCTTTAATGCCTTAGTTGATGGTTTGAGTTCATGAAGGTTGTATTCCTATCATTTTCTCTGTGCCACTCCAACATTTTTGAAATTAAGGCTAAGGCCACCTCTGAGGCGCCTTGATAAGGGTGTCCAGTTGTCTGCCCACCTATCTGAGCCTTCACTCTCCACTATGCATGTGTCCAGCAGTGCACTCTGACAGTGAGTTAGATGCGCCCCCACCCAAGCCCTGCCCTCTGTGGCCTTAGCTCTAGTTCTGAGGTTTTCAAACTTTTTGAATAAATAAGTGTCCATTGAGGCCCATTTGGGTGATTTCAAGACCCTCCAGAGGGTTACAGCTTACTATCTGGGCGGTCAGTGCTGCTCTGATGGGAGCTTTTGCCCAAATGGTGATTCTATGGAGTCTGTAGGCACCGACAGGAAGACAGGCAGTGGTCAGGGAATATTGCCAGGGGAGCTGGATGTTGTGGGGACATAGATAGGCGGGGCAGGGGATGCTGGTCAGCTGGGAGGATGAGCGTGACCTGTCCAGGCTCAAGGACTGAAGGTGCCTTCTCCTCACATGCTGTGCCAGTCTCTGGACATTCTCCCAGCTGCCACCAACCACCTTTCATCAGCAGCATTTGAATCCTATGGGGGGCTGGGGGAGATAGCCATACTAGCTCCTTCTTCCTTTCCTTTGGTTTCCTGGTCCTCTTGGGTTTTAGAGACTCCTCTGTCATATTTGATTCACTAGAGTGAGAAACCACTACCCTTTACACGGTGACATCAGTCATAAGCTGGATGACGGTTCCAGAGATGCTGTGCATAAACAGAAAGCACTTGCAGAGTCAGAGCAATAGGACATTCAGTTGGAGAGTCTAGTTGTTGCTTTCTTTTAAGCTGCGTGACAGTAGCTGTCACATGTTTTTTCAGCTCCAGGAAATCAGCAGTGCCAGCCCGATTTTCATGGAACACTTAATTCTCTCATGATCACAGTGAATTCAGCTGTGATTTCAAAATGCAGATTAGGGAAAGTGAATTTTGCCAAAAGTGGGAAAGCAGGGTTTACGAATAAGCAGAATGTAAAAAAATCCAAGTACTGTTTGCTGACCATTGATCAGTGATTTGGGAGTTCTCAGCTTTTAAGAATGAATGTTCAAACTCACAATCCTTCCAGTCTGCTTACCCTGCCCCATCCCCTATTATTCTGAATTTATTCATTATCAGAAATCTCCTTTCATCAGAAAACACTCTAATTGTGTCATGTAATCCTGCATGCTGGCCGTGTGTTCATAAAGAACTTCCTTTTCAAAGCTGATCGCCAGCCGGGCTGTGTGAGGGCCTGCTACACAGGGCCAGATGGTCACTGGGACAGTGTCGTAGCCTCCGGGGTCCGGGGTGGACTGGGAGCACTCACAGGAACTGAGGGAGGGAGAGACTTCCTGTGAGCTGTAGCTGCAGCACAGACTTGCTTGCACCTGGGTTTATGAAGTGTGGTTTGGAAAATACATTATGTATTTAGATCCCGAAAAGCATAACAACAACAAAAAAACTCACAGCCATGGAGTGGATGCCGACTCATAGGGACCCTAAAGGACAGGGTAGCAGTCCCCTGTGAGCTTCTGAGACTGTACCTCTTTATGGGAGTAGAAAGCCATCTTTCTCCCTTTGGCTGGTGATTTTGAACTACTGACCTTGTGGATTACAGCCAACACATAACCACTATGCTACCAGGGCTCCTCTCTGGAAAAGCATAAGCGATGAAAGCACAGTGGAAAATTACTTACTTACTGGTCCAATGAACCAGCCATTGCCATCGAGTCTGTTCTGACTCAAAGCATCTCTTTGTAGGGTTTCTGAGACTGTAAAATTCAGACAGCCTCATCTTGCATTAGACGTATAAAAATACATGAATAAAGGAGCTTTGGCAGCACTGCTAGATAAGCCTTGGGCTGCTGATCATAGGTCCAAGATTCTGCTCCTCAAGATTAAAATAGTGAATTGTGTGTACTTTGAGAAGCAATGAGCTGGTGAGGGAAGAGGACGAGTGGAGGCTGGCTGGAGTGCTGTGATGGAGGTTGGTCTGTGGGCAGGGGGCCCTGTCATGGGAAGGGACAGTGAACCTCCCAGGAGAGAGGGTGAAGACAAGCCTGGCTGAGATGGTGTCAGATGAGAGGGGGTTTTAAGGGTAAATAGGTGTTTACAGGTAAATAGTGGGGATGGTCATTCCAGGCAGAGAAGGAGAGTGCAGCCCTGTGTGTGAAGGGTCGGTCCATGAAGAGTTTGTCATCCTTAGAGACTTCTTTAGAGACTCACTCTCCATCCAGTTGTCTGAGGGGAGAAGGAGCTAGAACTTCTCAGGTCCGCTACAGCATCCACTCTGAGGCTGGCTCAGTACTGAACCCTGTTTCCTGTTTACAGTTTACAAACCATGGTGCCAAGGGGCTGCCCTAGACAGAGGGTGACGTCACTTGGTTTACATTCGGGAAATTAACTGGCAGGGCTGCATGGTGGGCTGGGAAATTGTTCAAAAACAGTGACCAACTTTGTTTATATAGTATCTAATCTCAAAATGTACATCTAATCTCAAAAATGTGCATATTTAGGGCACTTATGAGAAAAATATTTTAGCAATGAACTAAACATTTAGTTGGCAACAGCGATTATAAATAAGAAGAGAGATTTAAGATAAATGCAGGTTTTGTTTCTGATCTGCCTCTGTTCAAAGACTAAACAGAAATACTGATAATTTCTGGTTTAAAAAAATCTTATTTTAATTACACTTTAGGGATAATCATTGAAAAAGATCCTTTCCAATATAATCGCTTCCGATTTTTAATCAACATAATAGTGTTTTTTATTGTGGCTTGACTTGTTCTTTCTTTCTCTATTTTTCTTTAACTTCCTTTTTAAACTAAGGCCAAGCAATTTTTTTTTAAGTTTTGCAAATAGTAGATAATATATTTGTATGTGTAAGCATCATGTATCCTCGCCTTTTTATTTTGTTTTGTAAATTGGATGTCTGGTATTTTTGGTTCCTTTTTAAAAAAAACAGCCTTTACATTTTAGGGATATGAGTTACAAAAATAAGTTCCCAATTTTTTGCTTTTGTGAATTCTCATAGTTACTGTACTTGAATTGATGAGTATTTTTAAAAATATGCTATCTGGTTCTGAGTCATAGCTAGGGCTTTTGTATATTGTTATAAAGGAATTTGTTCAGGTTTTAGTGTATCACCTTTATGGTTTTATTATTTATATTTAAATAATTGATCCAGACTGTCCTAGTATATGGTGTTAAGTATGAATCCAATTTTATTTTTTCCAGATGAGTCTCTCCTCCACTCAGATAACATTCATTGTGTAATCTTTTCCCTCCATGGTGATAACACACTGCCACCAGCATTTACCACTTGCCTTTGTGTTGCCGAGTCAGTGGCTGGACTTCACATCCTCCCCAGGCTGTGGGCTGGCTATAGTGGAAAGGCTCTCAGTGTCAGGCAAGCAGGTTCCCTTCTCTGGCTCTTACATTTAGAAACCTTCTGACTTACCTTTCAGATGTTCTTCCCCAACTTTCAAATCGGTTTATCTCTTCCCAAAAGTTTATCTCAAAGATATTTCAGGGGTAGGGATCACTTTAAATTTTCAGATGATTCTCTTATGATAATGGATCTCCTTTAATTTATTAATCTTTTTTTCTTTCCCTTGCAGATGATATTAACCGTGTTCTTGAGCAACAATGAACAAATTTTAACAGAAGTTCCTATAACACCAGAAACAACATGTCGAGACGTTGTAGAATTTTGCAAAGAACCTGGAGAAGGCAGTTGCCATTTAGCTGAAGTCTGGAGGGGCAGTGGTATGTATAAGATTCAATAAAGCTCATTAAGTACATAGTATTTAATTTTTGTTTATCAAACTTAGAACGTTGTGTCTGTGGTTCCGAGTTATCTGGGACTGTGAGAGCTATGTGATTAAGTGCCCGCCTGTGGTGTGGGGACAGGAATGTAAATGTTTCGGGCATGTTGCTTTGTGACTTGACTCTTCCTTCCCGAAGCCATTTGGATGAGACCTTTCTTCCCGTTACTGCTCCTGAGTGAGAGTTTTCCTTCCTCTGCAGTGTCGCAGTGTTTAGTTTGGTGTGTGTCGAGTTGGTCTGCCACTTTTCTCTTCCCTTTTGACATCTCCATGAAGGCAGAAGCCATTTTACTCAAATTGTGCTCCCCTGCGTACAAAGCATTATGAGTCGTAGGCCGTTTCTACAGACTTGGTTCTGGAATTGAGAAGAACAAAACGTCAGCTCTCACGTAGAGGAGCTTTTCATGCTGCTGGGCAGAAGAGCTCAGTGTAGGGGAGATGGCCTCTCTGTCTATAGTCCCATTAGGAGGGAGCACATCCGAGACTCCATCTCACTAGAGAGTGTGAACCAGATCACCACTCTTTGTTTCCTTGGGGTGTGTTCTTCTGAAAGACAAAAACCACACCTCCCTCAAAGCTTTTCCTTTGTATATAAGAGAGGCATCTGGGAATCAGAGAGAAATCCCAGGACCATCAAGGAAGAAGAGCCACCACTGGAGCATGTTCCAAACAGAGACTGTGGCACAGAGACTGTGGGACAGAGCAAAGGAGTCAGGCTGAGACCAGAGACAAAGGCAAGGAGACCCTGAGACAGAGCGGAGGAACAGTGCTGAGAAGACGATGGGACTATTGAAGTCAGAGTGACAGCCTGGCTTCCTGGCCCACAAAGGCAGAGGCCAAAGGGACCATGTGGCTGAGAGGCTGATGACTGGACAGAGATTGGCTGCTGGCTGAAAAGAGGAGTTGCTGTAGACCAATTTACTTTCTGCCCCCTTAAGCTGGTCTGGTCTGGGCATTTCATATAAAGGGACTCATCCAATATGTAGTTCTTTCCTGTCTGGCTTCTTTCCTAGCTAGCTCAATCCATGATGAACCATCTGTTTATTCCTTTTTATTGCCAAGTCTCTCATTGTACAGGTGGACCACAATTTATCCATATACCAATTGATGTATGCTTTGTTGTTTCTACTTCCTCCTTATTGTGAATCCTGCTTCTGTGAACACTCCTATACAAACTTTGGTGTGGACATATGTTTTCATTTCTGTTGGAGATAGTAAGTCAGAACGTAATGCTACAAAGTCATAGAAATCTTTTTTTAAACAGAAATATCATTATGAGGCTATCATTCCTCTATATGCCTTCCATGAAGGTTTATACATTTTCATCTAACCCTCCCTTGAAGAAGTCTGCCCATCTTTTATTTATAGGACATCAAAATGGCAGTGTTGACAAACTTAAGGTACTCAAATCATATTCTTTTTCAGTGTTCTTTACGTTTGGGGCACAAAAAATATGAAGGGGCATAATCAGAACTTTAGGTGGATGGAGTAAGGTTTCCCAATGAAATCCTCATAGTACAGCTTGTGTTACCCTCTAAGAATGAGAATTGTCTTTCTTATCTTTTTCTCATCGGTGCAGTTCTCAATTTTATTATAACTTCATAACAAGCTTGCATGATCATCTCGTGTTCTTGAATAAACTGATAAAGATCAGTTTGGGGTCCCAAAAAACACTCTCTGTAACCTTCTGAGCTGCCCTCTCCTGCCTTAAATTAATCTTTGAAGCCTTCCAAACTCCTTACAGCTCTTGATCCATTTGAAAATTGTTGTTTTGTTTAAGGCAGCATACTTGTCTCAAAGCTTCATTGATTTGGGAAGGTGTTTGAATTTTGCTAAAAATTTTATAATAGCCCTGACTTTAGTCATTTTTTTCAAGAGCACATAAAGTATGTTTTTTAAAGGCACCCTAAAAAGATGAAGACATGTGTATTACAGAAAACTTATCTGTAGTCACCTACAGATCACCAAGACATATTTACAAGGAATAAAGCTGTACACACATGAACTGTAATTCTCATACCAATACTTTTTGACTTACCCTTGTTTACCTAGGAGGAGAATAGCTGGGTCATATGGTGACTATTTAGTTAGCACGGTGAGAAACTGGAAATGATTCCACAGCGGCTCTCCCATTTTATATTCCCACCTGCAGTACATGAGGGTTTCAATTTATCACATCCTGGCCAGCACTTATTGTCTTTGTTACCCTAGTAGATACAAAGTGGGGTAATAACTAATGGTGCTGAACCTCTTTTCATGTGCTCATTGACTATGTGTGTGTGTTTGTAAATAAATAGATAAATATATGTATTTGTCTATAAGAGACAGAGAGAAATGTCCATTCAAATCCTTTGTCCAATTTTTAATTGGATTATCTTTTTCTAATGTGTTGTAAGAATTCTTTAAATATTCTAGACAAAAATCCCACATCAGATATGAGTCTTATAAATATTTTCTTCCAAAGTCTTATACTTTTGATTGAGCTTCTAGTATTATCCTTAAAATTCTGAGTGAAGAGTGTAAGAACATCGTGAGAAAAACAACATGAATAAATGTTGGATTCCTACTCAAGGAGGTGGGGCAGTTGAGTCATTGTAATTCCTGCTGTTAGGACACTAATATTAGATCCTGATTTTCATAGAATTTGTTTTTGTTTTTTTCTGTAGCCTTGTTATGACTTGTCACTTCTTGCCATTTACCTTCATTTTCTTCAGGCCCTCCTAATACCTGTCTCAGTGAATCTAAAAGCCTCCTATAATGAAATTTGGGACTGGTCAACATGATCCTCAATGTTCTCTGTGGGGAGGACACAGATGGCAAGCAACCCCCCCGGAAGAATCAGAGGCAACACTGTGGGCCAGGGGACGATGAACAATGCCTCTAATTCTGAGGGAGACATGTTTGCTATTGTGTTAGATCCAGTTGACTAGAGAAACAAATCCCGAGACACTCAGATGTATAAGAAAGAGCTGTATATCTAAGAGAAATTGTTTAAGAAAACACCCAGACCAGTCCAGATCAAGTCCATAAGTCCGATACTGGTCCATAAATCCCTCTTCAGACTCATGCTTCCACAAACAATGATGCAGAGTTCAGGGAGATCACAGTCTGGTGGGTGTAAAGTCTTGTGGACTCAATGGTGATGGACTCATCTCCAGAGGTCTGGCAAGTCCCCAAGTTGCTCACCTGCAGGAAGGTGAAGCATAGAGAGTTGGTGGGGTGGCCTCCATTTATCTTGGTCACACCTCCAAATGAGGTCATCAACTTTCGACCTGATTGACAGGTTAAACTCCCACCACTATACTTTATCAAATTGACGTGAAATTATGTAACTACCACAGCTACCTAATTCTGTACCTAACCAAACTATCATCCAGTGTGAAGGTAGAAAAATGTCTTTTCTGAGATACAAGGTTTCAACAATTTTACTTTCCTGGTATCCTTACTCAGGAAGCTACTAGAAGATCTGAAGTGATGGTGTGAACAAAGAAGACAGGGAATCTAGGAAAGGGGGGGACAGCACTGGAGAGATGGGAAGGTGTTGAGGAAGAGACTGCTCTGGAGCAGGAGGGTCTGAGAAACCATGGGCTTGGAATGGGGCAAGAGGAAAGCTGCTGGCAGGGATTTTAGAGATGAGCTAGTGAGAGGTACACAGGAAGCTAAGTCAATAGCAAAGATTATAGGAAATAAAATGGAATCATAATATAGGGTATAAGTTAGCAATGAAAACTTGGATATGTAAAACAATGTAATATGGAATTGATCTAACCAAAATTTGGTTAGACAGTCTTTTCCCTAGGAGAGGTAATTCATGGAACATGGAAGAAAAGGAAATCCTGGTGTTCCCTGTGTAGAAGGAGCAGGCATCTGCTTCATGGACAGATGAAAATGTCCTGGAGTTGAAGTAGTGTGCTTGATTGGGCCAAGGACTGCAGCTTTTTGTTAAAAGCTTTGTAGAACTGTTTGACTTTTAAAACTGTGGACATCTATATCTTTAACACCAGTGACAGGTACATTGGAAAGCAGGTGGTGATGAGGCTTGCAGGTGGGTCCCTGCAGACATTGAGCAGGATGTGCATGTAGACTCTGAGGAGAAACACTGACATTCAGAGAAGGTACCAAAGCCTTGAATGACAGGTGTGGGAACAAGGTTGCAGCAGTACATTAACAAGGAGCTGAGCTTCCAGAGGTTTGGGCTGGATTCAGAGGAAGACATGAAACAAGGGGGACATCATTGCTGGTTTCATCTTAGATGAAAACAGAGAATACCAGAGAGATATGTGCTTGTACTTCATTGAGAGTACCAAGGCATTTGACTGTGCAAATCATAACTGTAGATATAGCCTTGAGAAGAACAGCAACTCACTGAGCTTATGCAGAACCTGTACGTGGATCGAGGCAGTTGTACAAACAGAACAAGGGATTAAATACTGCATGGTTTAAAAATCAGGAAAGGTGTGTGTGTCAGGATTGTAGCCTATCACCATATTTATTCTGTCTGTATGCTGAGCAAATAATCAGAAACTGGGCTATATGAAAAAGAATGGGGTATCAGGATTGGAGGAAGGCTAATTAATACCTATGATATGCAGATAACACCACCTTACTTGCCGAGGAAGATCAAGGATTACAGCCTTCAGCATGGATTACAACTCATGTAAAGACCAAAATTCTTTTTTTTTTTTGGGGGGGGGCGCATTTGTAATTTTTAAATTTGTTTTAAGATTTTTTGTTTCCTAATCCTTTTTTTAAAATCGTTTTATTAGGGGCTCATACAACTCTTATCACAATCCATGTATATATCAATTGTGTAAAGCACATTTGTACATTCATTGCCCTCATCATTCTTAAAACATTTGCTCTCCACCTAAGCCCCTGGTATCAGCTCCTCATTTTTTTCCTCCCTCCCCGTTCCTCCCTCCCTCATGAACCCTTGAT